TGACACCACATAGGAAATATGTAAGAGGTGAAACAATTTATCCTCTAATGCTTGAAAATAATAACATTGAGGTGCGAATTAAATGACAACATATTACAGATTCTTATTTCTAAAGGGAGCAATATCAGTACAAATTCTATTCATAGCAAACAAGACTGTGATAGTTGGCATCAAAAGTGTTGAAAATTTTAAGTTTCGAAGGGTCTTACTCTCCTGGCCTTTCTCTCAGAACAGCTCTACTGTCTATGCAACCAAGATAATTTTCATTCTGAAAATCTAAAATGTAGGTGAAAGCTATTTTGATAATCAGCAACATCCACTGATGCCTAGAGTTGTCCAGCTCCTACTTTTCTAAATACTTTGCTTCAAACTGAAGGTTAGAAATTGTCCTGTAATACTGCAAACACCCAGAACAAATGGCAGACTACTCTTATTTTAAACTCTCATTTTAGACATGTAATATTTTCATTTACACCCTCACCTACATATAATTGAACATCTGAATTCAGCTATGGAAGGCATATATTCTCTGACCATAGATTTCCCAGAACAACTGGTTGGAGGTCAAAACATGCCACAGGTTCAATTCACTGCCATGTTGATTTTACTGAGACAAATGAATTAATGTGACTTGGTAGAAGGCAGTTTCCTACCAACCTTGAAATACAGAGCTGGGCTTTTCACATTACTTGAGCCTGAAATACTTTGTTCTGGAAAAACATTGGACTTACACCAGTATCAAAGTATTAAAGCCTACTCACATAGTGTCCATCACCAAAACCGAAGAGTCCAATAACTTACCTGCAAGAGTTAACAGAAAGCACCCAGCACACAAAAGAACTGGCAGTTTCATCATGATCCTGTGCTTTTATTTTTATAATCTGAAGTAAAGGTATTAGAACTAAAAACAAACAAACAAACAAAGATTTCTTAGCCGACTATGTATCTGTCCAGCCACAAGCACCTTCGAATCTTCCAGATGCCCTAAATATCCAGTTTACAGGGAAGGATGGGAACATAACACAGTCCAGTCACAAACTATCTTAGAGAATCATTTGGCAGGTGTTTCATGCAACACCTACACGCACACATTGCAAGAATCATAGAGCTGCATCACTTAACCAATAGGAGGCATTTACATTGAGAAAGTGGGAGGAACCAAACTGCTGGCAGCCTCTGAAGAGGCATGGACCAGATTTTTTCCTTACTCATCTCTCTTCAAAGAAAATCCCCAACCTTCGCAAAATTGTCTTCTAAGACTCAACACAGGCAAACAAGGTGTGGCATAAAAGACATAAACATACCTTACACTTATCCTGAACAGAGAATAATGTTCTGTGGACGAATTTCTCTCAGTGTCATCAACTCTGGAAATTAGGAACTGTTGTTCTTATTGGACAGGTGTGCTGTTAAATACTTATGTTAAGATACTGAGGACTTCTTCTTTCATTCATTAAATCATGTATTAAACCTATTTTCTGTCCTTAAATATTGGAAAATATGTGGATACCCCTAGGTGAAGTTACTGGATCAATGGTGAAAGAGGACAAAGGAGGCATGGTGAATTTCAAGAAGCCAGAATATAGGGCAGTCTTTCCCAGGCTGTTAATTCCTCCCTTTCCAGTTAGCTGCAGCCTCATACATCTGAACTGGAACAGACCATAGAAAGTTGATATAGAACTTCAGTGCTATTTAACTATCCAGCACTTGAAAGAGACCAGGCCTGGTTAGTGCTTCATAGTGGTATGCAATCCAGAATTAAATAGTTCAATCTGCCTGATGGCCAGCATTTTACTAAATTATACTTATTTGGCGTATTTACAGCACATGAACCAAGTTTCCATGATTTAAAAACTGCAGAATTTAGTAGGTTGTAGACCTAGGTTGTAGAAACCCAGACCACTACTAGATAGCAGCAAAGAGATAAAGGAAGTTCCAACCCTTTGCTGCCATCTAATGGTTGTCCATATTTTTGTATTCCAATTCTGGAAGCCTTAAATTTGGAACATCATCATATAATTTTTTTTTTATGCATCATTACATTTGTTGCAAAATTTACTTTGTCAAATGATAATGATTTATCTATAAGAGGACATCTTTGAACTGATGAATGATCAAATGAAAAGCAACTATCTTGCTGTTGCTTAACCTTCGCAGTCCTCAACGTGTGAACACACTTGACAATTAAGCAACACCATTTCCTCATTTCTCAGGGAATCACTACAGTAAACAAAGTATCAACTTAAGTTGTCCAGTATGGCATTCCTGGAAGACACGTGTCAAAGTAGCTGGATTTATACAAATAGGTTTGACTTGAATCTACATGAATTACCTTGTATATGCTGATTGCAGTAAATTGTAGGGGTGATACAGAAATATGATTTGCATCTTTTTTCTAAAAAAAATTTCTTATCCTATTTTTAATATATGGTCTTAATGTCTTGTTTCATATGTTTCATACTCTGTATCTTGATATAGTCTAATGGCTAATCAATAATAATAAACTAAGTAAACCTTGTATGTGAATACCTTAGAATACAAGTTTGTGCTGGATATTACATTAGGTGCTATTGCCTCTTCCTAGTGAGATCAAAATGAGTCCAGATACCCAGATGTTCATATTTGATAAACCACTGCTTCTGCTTTCGATCCCAAATCCTCTTCTAAAAAAAAATTCCATTCCACAAGGTCGTTGTCTTGAAAGAATCAGGCAAATGTTAATTTTAGATTTGTTTATTAAAAAGAAATGACAAGTTTTAATTACCAAATATTTAGAGATTCTCATAATCTAAAGAGCCATAAGTCTATTTAAAAATTAAACACACTGAACTATTGATATATTTCACATAGCACGCATGAATCATATTGCCAACCTATGACAATGGTTTCCTTTATAGAGATTAATGGACTAATCATATCCATTCTTTCTAAAAGACAGTGCCACGTAGTTCAGTGGCATTTACATTCAAATACATGCAGAAGTGCAGCCACTCTTATGCACATTCACATGGAATAAGCTATACAGGCAGTCCTCATTTAGCAACCACAATTGGGACCAGTACTTGGTCATTAATTGAAGCAGTCACTAAGTGAAAAATCACATGACCATGACACTTATGATTTTACTTTGCTTCTTGCTACTTCCTTCAGCTGAACTGGGGTTCGTTCTTTCTCTTTGAGGACATCTTGGTATGGGGTAAATAAACAAGTGAAAATAAGGAGAGATGCGGTGAAGGTTGTAAATGTGAGGAGTGGTCGCTAAGTTGTTTTTTTAGCATCATCGTAACTGAATGGTCACTAAACGAGGCACAAATTCCAAACATGTTCTCATTATTTTTATGACAAAGTATGGACACATTGGGATAACATGATAAGCCATGGCTAAAGTACCTGTGATTGCATCTGCTGGCTTTTCTCTTCCTCAGTAGTAAATAGATGTCTGGGTTTGATTTAAACTCTGCAGGGAGCTTTCAATTGCAACTAGCCAAACAGCTGTCTCCATGGTTTTGTTTATGCCAAACATAGGGGTGCTCTCTCATTAGTTGCAGAGAAGGACAATGGAAACAAATGATAAACTGAAAACAGACCATGGACAGCTGTCTCCTACCTACACTGCTGGTGGGTGAGGAGGAACAAACAGACAAAGGCAGCACATTCAATAAACCATGCTTACAATTTGCCACATGTAGTCCAATGCATTTATGGTTTGACTTACAGTCCTCTGTTCAGTAATAATATGGAAATATCTCCATCAACAGCAATCATTTTTAGCACTGGTCCTGATTTACAAAATAAGGATCATATAGAAATAATACCATTTAGTAAAAGCTAATTGCAATCATTGAACTCATGCATGCATTTTGCTTCAAAATGCAGATTCTTACTGAATTTATTAACACATTTGGTGCCAAATATATGCCAGGTTCAATTTATAATATGACAGAAAACTGATACTTTGTTTATTGAGGTGCAAAGAGCAACTTAAAAATCCATGCATCACTTATATAGCTAACTTGCATCTAATTTAAATTGGAAATTGACCCAATATTCATGTCTAGAAGATTATGTATACAGATAACACATTATGCAAACATTTCCTTAATTTACATTGGCATGATGCTTAACTTGAAATTATATGAGTTACCCAGAAATAACATGAAGAATCTAACATTTCTTGACATCGTTTCATATTTGTTTTCAGCTTATCTCAAATTTAGGTTACAGTATTGAAAAGAAGTTGTAGGACAAGAGGTTAAGAATAACTCAATTTACATGGTCTCAGTGACCATTTCCAAGACACTTCCTCCATTAAATGAAACAATATGAAGTACTCAGCTCACATTACTAGTCAATTCATATATTCCTGATAATGGCACTTCAAGGTATTCTACTTAAGGCATCTGCAATTGACGTTTATCATGTTTTCTGAAAAATATTGCTAAATAGTCACAAGCAAATAAGTCTTTATGAAATGCAAAGCACAGAGCTAGTAGGCCACTTGTGAACAGTAAAGTAAACTCTGTAATCAGAGGCACATGCAGTTTTAAGTAAAGTTTTAAGTGGCAACTTCATTACTGAACAGTTACTTTATTATAGCATAAGGGCAAAAGAGCAGCCAATTATGGGCCAGTTCACATGCTTATTTAGGCTTATAGTTCACCATGGAATGTGCCTGCTCCTGCCCTCACTTCTACTCCCCCTATTGAAAGGGGTAGTAAACAGCCCTGACAAGTTACTTTAAAATGAGTGAGCAGTTTCCAGCTGCATATGATTCTCCCAAAGTAGCTCCCTCAAAATAGTATCACCAGGTGTTTGTGGTAGCTATGAATTACTATAGTGCCATTTTCTCACACTTAAAAAAAAATCACAGAACTGGAAGGTTTATTTAGACCAATGCTTTTCAAAGTTGGCAACTTTAAGACATGTGGACTGCAACTCCAGAATTCCCCAGTCAGTACGTTAACCCTAAGTATGCTTGCTGGGGAATTCTGGGAGTTCAAGTCCATACATCTTAAAGTTGCCAAGTTTGAAAAATGCTGACTTAGACACTTGAGTTCCCCCCACCACCACCACTCCAAAAGCAGTAAATAGGTGTGTTAAGCTCCTAAATCTTAACCTCTCCATACCAAATATGTAATACAAAGAGGATGGACCTAACTATCAGGCTCCTTGTGGCACTGGCAGCGGAGGGGCTATAAAAAAAGTGTGCTGGTCCCTGCTGCGCAGCTGGGGGGTGTTAAAAAAGTGCTGGTTTCAGATGCACAAGATTATGATTTCAGGACATAAATCTCATCGAAATCCAAGATGCATGTCATCTTTGGCAGTAATTGGCCAAAGAACATAAGCAAGCCACTGTATACCCTGGCTACATTCTCACATTTAATTAAGGCCTAACCAATGGCAGATGTTTACTAGCCATGCCGGCTGGGGGTAGGATACAGGAGGCATAGCAGACATTCTCTACATTAACCCTAAGCAAGCTTGATGCAAAGATTATAGTTTCATCCTATGGCTATGCAGTGTTTTGGACTCCATTCCAGAAAAGTGTTGTGGAGCACGTAGGAGCATGGTGAACACTCTTTAAAATCACATTTTTCTTCCCAGGACCATGCAGCTCAGAAACACAGCTTCACTATATTCAAATAAGAAACCTTCAGATGCAACAAGTTCAAGATAAGAATTATTTTAAGATTATTTCCAAGTCAGAAATATTAAGGCAACTTAATTAGGCTTTTAATGCCTTCAATTCCTATGTACTGTATATAACGGGAAAATTTCAAAAAGTGTTGGCTAGGTAGATAAGACATTTATACCCAATTTCCTAAATCTGATCAAGAACAGCTATGCAGAAGGAAAGATGTTAATTTTTACCAATTGGAGCTACAGGGACAAGGGGATTTAGCCCTAACATGATTCTTACCCTATTTGTAAAATGTAACTTCAACTATGGAGTGAGCAACTGATCTGGTAAGAGCAAACTTGGGCTTTGTCTCCAACATCTAAGTAGCTGGCCTTATCAATGTGGTGTGATGTGCATCAGTATGCAAAGACAAACTGCACTTCTCTGGGGTGTCTACAATAAACACAACTTTCCTCAGTGAGCAGCCTGCCCAAAGATATTTTACAAGTACATCCATCTCCCTTTTCAAGGTTCTTGCCGCAAAAAAGAAAAAAAAGAAAAACTTTAATCCAATCAACATATGCTGTAAAAATACATTTTAAAAACAGTAGTCACCCTCTCTACAATTTTGAACTTCAAAGGGTAAATGGTAGATGAAAACATTTTTCATTGGTTAAAACATCACACTCCCTTTCTAAAGATGTTTCAACAGGCCTATTTTAAGCTCTACTTTGTAATTCCATTGTTTTGCTGCTTCAGGGAATTATGCAGGCTATGAATCCAGTTTCTGGTCTTCTCTTCATGTCAACTTCTGCTATTGTTTCTGCAAAAGAGTACGTTGAACTAAAAGGGGAGAGAAAAAAAAAAAGCTGATGAAAAGTCATATTCTCTGCCACTGTATTGCCTGAACAGACAGAATATGAAAAATATATAGGCCACTATTGAAAGCTGTTTTAGCTCATGCCTAAATATAATACTTAAAAACGCCAAGCAGGCTGAAATCCCTTTCCATCCTTACAGGTAGAGATCCCCCTCCCTCTTTTATTTCCAAAAAAAAAAAATAGATGACAAAGATGCTAGCTATTAATCTGGGGTTGAAATGCTTAAAATTACAGTTGTAGAATTCTGAGAGGCAAAATCACATTTCAGTACTTGTACCTCAATATGGTATTTCAATGATTACATTTTATCCCACTTAAGGAAGTCAGGATGATATATGTAGAGTTCTTCCTCCTTTTTATTTTCATATCTGTCCTCTGAAGTAGGTGAACTTCAGACACAATGTAGCTGGCCTATTAATCTAGCAAATTCTATGGTGGCTCAGCCATCATTCCTGACCCACTAAAAGAAAGCTGTTGTCAGGTTTCTGACTCATTTCACCCATAGCTAACTTATAATTATATGTATAATTACAAGTATCAATTTTTCCAGTTAAGGCTGCAATCCTGAACACACTTGGAAGCAAGCATCACTGAACACATTTGGTTCCTAACAGATTTAAACAGACTGTCCTCAGAAACTACTTAGTACTTTAAGCATTTAAAGAAAGACCAAACTACTTTTCTAAAGATTGTCTACTCTCTTCATTTTTGTCTTTTTTTTCCTGACCAGGAGGTCATATTGCCAAAGTCACTCACTCACTTTCTTTTAAAGCCCCTTTGTGAGTTCACGGCATAATTGTAAATGAAGAGGATGATAGCAACTGGTGCTTTCCTTATATTAAATTTAAAAATAAACAATCAAAAAGTCAAGAGAGAAAGAGGAGCTTTGCAGACAATATATTGCCTCCCTTTCCTTTAGATTAAATGTACCCACTTGGACTTCATTATCATCCCAAATTCATTCTTTTCTTCTAGCAATTATTCCTTTTATTTTTGGAATTTCCTTCATTAAAAAATTCCTGAGATGACTTAGATTTCCAGATTCTGACTCAGATATTCAGATTTCAGGATTCTGATCAAACATTGAAATGAAAACAACATTAGGAAAAGTTTTTATTTAATGTTGTACAACAGAGAAAAGTTGTATGTATAGATAAAATAATAAAAGACAAGTATGCATATATACAAATCTGGCCTCTCCAGGACTACAAAAGATTGTTTGAAACTTTGGAAAGTGATAGAGACATAATGAGCTAAATGAAGAACAGATTCCTGCTGTCTTCTGTGGAAGTAAAAAAAAATAACCCTAATTCTGATAGCGTGAGCTTCATCTCTTATGTAGTAATTACGTCTGGTTAAATCTTGTCTTAGCAATGCTTAGAATTTACCACTGAATTCAAATGAGCTTAAAATGGTTCCATGCAAGTCCCACCAATTTCAAAGGGCCAATTTCATTGGTCTTGGTCCAGTCAGTTCTCTAAACTGAGCTAATGTATCTAATCTACAATAGAAAGATTAGCAAATAAACTAAACTGAAGATGCTATACTAGTCTAAAGAAAACTGACATCTTCTCTAAAATGGAATACTGTAGATGTGGCTTGATAAAACGACCTCAGTGGGAAACTGCACAAAATCACAAATGTAAGCCACTTTTGCAGGTGAAGAAAGGTACATGTGTAATTTTTAAAAGCTCTCTCTTTATGACCTTACCAGGTGGCTCAGCATGTGCTCCTTGCTGGCTTTCTGCATTAACATTCTCTTGATCTATAGAAACAAATATAGTTAAAATATGTTGCATTTTCTTATCTTCAGCTCATGCTTGAACAGAGTAACATTCTACATCCTAAAGCTTATTTCAAATTGTAAGCTTCCAATTACATTGGGAAATGCCCAATGTCAGTGCAACACGGTTAAAGCGATTATTTTAGGACGTCCTACCATCCCAACTTATTTCAAGTCAAATTGGTTATGACTTACCACTTGCTTTGAAGCAAAGCTTTTTCTTCTGATATGCTATAAAACTTGAAACAGCTCCAGCTATTGCCACTACAACTGAACTAATAATGCCAGCGAGCATGCCTTGAGAACCTGTGAAAAGATTTTCCCCAAATTAGAAAGCAGGTGTGCTCTCTTGATCTTCCAAGGATCATACAAAACTTGGAAAAAGTTACAGATGGTGTAGCAGGGGATAACAAAAGCTTACCTTCTGTATTTCCAGAGGAGTCAGAATCGTGCCCACCTAGAAGAACAGTTTGGTTAAAGAATTTAACAGTTTGGTTAAAGAGACAATAAAAAAGCTAAGAAGGAAACAAAATGACCAGAACACAACTTCTCCAGCAGCCAACACCCAGATAAGCAGGGATTAACACAAGACAAACATCAAGTAGAAAACAATACCCTAATCGGGGAACTACCAAGGAGAAAACCACAGCCCCACCAACACTGGCAGGGCAAGTTTTTGTATATAAACAGGGAGCAAACCCCATACTCACTAGCACTGATGATGTTACCTAGTTGGGTAACAAAATGTCTGCAAGCAACAACCAAGCTCAGAGAGCATGAAAGACCCTACAGTTCAACCCTGAGCTACATATATTCTCTTCTATTGGAATGCTGTTTACGTATCATGAAGCTATGCTATATAAGACAGAAAATGGTACCTTTTGATACAAAGTAAAACAGAAACCAGAGTTCTTTTATGAAATAACCTAGATGCACATTTGAAATTAGGGGATCTTCCAAACATTTCAGTTCAAACCATTTCACACTCAAAATGGGGTGTTTCATATTCTAACTGGTTCAACTCAAAATGTTGTGTACACCACTGCTTAAAACCAAGCCTTAACTTTTACTGTATACTGCTAGTATAAAGAGCATAGCATTTTTGCTGAAGCATTCCTCATTATTGCATTTCCCCAGAGATGCTCTGATATTTTTGGTTATGAGCTATTTTTAAAGTTAAAACGATTCTCCAACACAACATTGTAGAATAGGAAAGGACCACTTAAGTCAATGAACTTAACTCCCCTTCTCAGGGCAGGAATTCAGATTAAAATGTTCTTGATAACTTAGCTTGAATTTCAGTTTCAGAGGCAAATGGCATGCTACTAAATAGCAGAAATACTACTATTCTGCTACTAAAGGAGCAGAAATAGTATTTCCAGTTGTGGATTGAAAGTTAATATATTTAATTCTCAATTGAAGCACCTCTGATGGATAACATGCAGCCACATTGAATTAACATGGCAAAATAAGGGACTAAATTAAGTATTAAGTTTGCTTAAAAGGAAGAACATTGTTTCAATTATATAGGAAGAAGCACTGAAACTGTGTCTAGTTCCAGTTTGTAGTTATATTATTTCAATCTGTATTCAACTGCTTTTATTTATGATGAAAACATACTAGCAGGGTTGATCTTATCAAACCTAATTTAAGCCATACGTTGTAATAGCCATACATGCCATACATTCTGTGCTACAGCCCTGTCAATTCTTTTTTTAAAAAATTTCCTTTTGTCCAGGATAGAGCATGTTTGTGAACAACAATGAAATAAAGTCTATGTATCTTGTTCGTGTGCCTGCTTGACAACTGACCTCTTGTTAAACTTATGATTCTTTTTGTTTTATTTAACATTATTAATTAATATCTGTTATAAAAATGAATGTTACAACTTATCTGAATTAAAATAATCCTGTTTTGTAGCTGCCTATAAAATATTAAGGATTACCCTTACATTATTAAAAAAAAAAATCTTGATGGCTTTGTGTAAACAAATTTTAATTGACTTTTTTTCATTTTTAAATGAAAAAGTTCAGTGTCCTGTGAAGAAGATTTTACTAAATGATTAACACATGAAGTGCAGACATCAAAAACAAATTAATACAGTAACAAAATTAATGCCATAAGAAGTATCTTTGGAGAAGTGTTTGCTGTGAGAAATCAAACATGCGCTAATAACAGCCCACATACCTGAGGAAGGGTTAGAAGCACGGCCTAGGTTAAAAAAAAAAAAATGTGTATAATAGTATGAGAAGTAACAGTCCAAATTTTGCTCAGACATATAACTGAGAACCAAGTGATAAGTTTCTATTAGTTGTACATGCAAATGCACACATGCAATCAGGAGCTGATCCTACAGAATACCAATATAGGTAGTCTTTGTTTAGCAACTGCCTTGTACAGCAACCATTTGCAGTTACAACAATGAGGAAAAAACAACTTTGTGACTGGTCCTCGCATTTACGATCTTTGCAGTTCTGCAAAGCAAAGGAAACAAAAGAAAGAACAGTGGTCATTTCACTTAGCAATCGCTTCACTTAATGACCGAGTTGCCAGTCCCAACTGTGGTTGCTAAATGAGAACTACCTGTAAAAACACTGCTCTGCTTGCATATGTCTTGCAAAAGCAACTCCAAATTTTTAAAAAATCATGCTATTGAAAGTGGGGGAAGAAGCATCAAAGTTATAAGGAAACATCATAGCAGTTCAGCATATAATCATATCCAAGCAACGTATCACATGCATGTTAGTACAGGGACTGCTGTGCCTGTTCCTTTGCAGGAACAGTTCTGTCAGCCTGCAATCTTGTATTTATTCATCTGGTTGCAAACCTTATTGAGTTCAATGGGACTTTTAAACAAATGTGTGTAAGACTGCACTGGACTGCATATGACCGTATTTCTAGAATAGATGTATCTTTTGAAAGAACCATCTTAATATAAAGACAACTTTTAGTCTGGTTTAAGGAAACTTGATTTTTCAGCCTCCTAAACAACCATTATCTAACATAAAATATGTTGGAAAAGATGAGTATTTGACTGAATTATCTTACCTAACATGGAACCAAACTAAAACTTGCCAATATAATTATATATACAACAGGCTTGAGTTTTGTTCCTCTTATTCAACTGAAACTATTAACGATTATGCAAGTTAAGTAATACATTATTAAGTAAGAAGGAAAGCTTGCCATTACTACGTTTTTATGAAAATGTTTAATTGCAAAAATACATTGTTTAATAAAATTACTAATATAATGAATGGAACCAATACCAATCAAATCTGAAATTAAAATTGTATTCCTGGGTAACATATTTTTATGAACACACTTTACAATACTTTCATATTTAATATTTAATATTTAAAAGACAAAGCCAAAAGCTTACATAAAACTACACTAGTATTTTTAAATACAGTGAATATTTGAAACATACCTGATTGTGGGTTCTCAGGTGGCAACTCGCCTTCATATAAATCTGAATCACTAATTCCTTAAGAACAACAAAACAACAAAAGGAGTAAAGCACATTTATAAAGTTTACAATTTAAAAATATATTCTACCATTTGTTTGGTGGAATTGTACATAATTTCCAGCTTCTGTCATTACATTAAGAATCTTAACTATATTTCAAATGCATATGTTTTGCTGTTTAGATAGATTTTAGGATAAGCTGCAAATGTTTATGAATTAATAATGTATTCATAATGATGAATAAACATATGGCAAGAAAACAAAACAGTATTTTGCATGTGGGCTGGGCAAATCCTTTGAAATGGTATTTGAGAACATGTGGGAACACATATTAAGCATCTCTTTTCAAAGTCAAAACTTATCTACTTTTATTTATGGACACAGACATAAAAAATCAAATACACAATAAACTAAAATATTGAAAGAGAAAAACATGGCTAATTGCCCTCTGATATGGAATAATCTTTTAAAACATAATTATATCCAGAATTTCCTCACAGCAATTGTAATTGAACAGTATTTTATTACCTTTTTTGAGATTTCTAAGGATTTATCAGCTAATAGAAAAATGTATTCTCTTAAATTGCACAACTGAAGTGAATTACAAAGAGCGGTGATGTTAATTCAGAGCACTAAATACAGCAGAACATATCAAGATGATTCAATGACACTCCACACACGGACAAATTTGGTCCTGGAAGGGAAGACTGGCAAGAATAAAAGCTCTTTCTTTGAGGGACAGAGAGAATATTGTATACCATTTATCTTAAGAGTAGATAAAAGCCTGTTCCTAAGGCTGGGGTTATAGTGGTGGGAAATTTTGTTCCTGCCCTTCTGTAATTTTAGATTCAATTAACATGACTCAGTAAGTTTGACTCCTTGTGGAAAACAATCCTGGTTCAGTCTTGACCTATTGTAGATTCTCAGGTCCGTCGCTGAATTTAGGGTCTGAGAACTTTTAAAATAGAACTTTTCAAAAAGTTAAATACAACACTTTTTTTCAGTTTTCATGGATGTTTCGGAAGCTGCTTTTGGCTGTCTCTGCATGCAAGCACATGTGTTGCCATTTTGGTAGGGGGAAAAAAGCAAAATGAAGTGAATGCACAGCTAAGGGAAAGTCTCCAAAGCAGCTATGCAACCCTGGAGAAAGACACAGCTGCTTTAATGATTCTGAAAGAGTTTCTTTATGTTCACTCCTGTGTGTTCTAAAGCAACTCTTTTACAGGATTGGCGGAGCACTATTATGCACAAGTGAGCATGAAATCAATCATCATTTAGTGCTTTTAGAGTTTTCTAAATTGGTCTACATTTTTATCAGAGGATCCAGGGGAAAAGCAACACTGCTTTATTTTAACCACATACACAAATCACATCAAATCCCAGTTAAAATTAGAATAGTATCAGCATGTAAGTTCCACTAACACTGACAGGGAGGAATGAAAGGAAGACAATGAGTGGCTCATGCTACTCTCACAACTTTAATTAAACATCAGCAGCATTTGTTTATTGGCTAAACATTTTTAAAAAGGTCAAGCACAATAAGATTTAAGAACCCTGAAGTAGGAATTTCACTTCTCTAATCTCATATTGGATTATTTCCAGATTACAGACACAAAGTTTATTCATATGTCAAAAAATATTTCAAGAGACCTATACCCCTGAAATCAGATTGTATTCCAAGTTTCTGCTACATGTTGGTCTCTTTTTCAGCCTCTTCAGAGTTTCTAAATTTACCTTAAAAGCAATTTACTTGGCCTGCCTTGTTTCAAAATAATCTCTAAAATTTACATGAAGTGGGCAAAAATCTGTATAAAATTAGAGTTCCAGTTCTCCTGATATTTTATAATGATCTCTCAAATATTCTTGAAGTAGGGAAAAAAAAAGTATGGCAAAATAAGCCAGCCTTCTCTCCAACCTGGTGCCCTCAGGATAGGTTGGTCTACACATTTCTCTAACTCCTCATCAGCACTGTTGTTTTGTAGGTCACCAGGTAGAGAAAAGTTTTAAGCCAAAGCAAAATAGCGTAGCACAGTTCTTTCACAATGAATTCTGCTCCTTTCATGTAACAAGGTATTCTCTCATACAACACACTCCAAAATAAGCTGGACTTAGAATTCCTAGCCAACTTGGCTAAAGAAATTCTGAGTGTTACAGTCCCAACACATTTAAAAGTCACATAAGGTACAATCCATCATCAGTATGTATCAATTCCTTTGTACGTCTCCTCTCCTAGCCCTAACAACCACGGAGTTTTTCAGAAAACTATATTAAAAGCTTTGACTGACAAGGTGCTAAATATATACTTCTTGACAAAGCTTACCCCCACTATTGCCGTGACTCCCAGGTTTGGGCTGAGGGGGTGGTGGTGCTGGCTTTTTGGAATCATCGCCACCTAGTGATGAGGAAAGATACACGCAACCTTCACACAGAAAATCATGAGCAACCTAATGCTATATAGGACATATAGCCTTAGTAAAATAAAGCTACCTCATTATCTGAATTGAGCAAAATAAATATTTGACATGTTTAGCTACAATGGCAGAAAGAAAAAATACAGAATTTATGTGTACAACAGTCATACGTGAGCTCCGGCAAGCCTTCTGTTCATATGCTTCCATACTATCTTGTATTTAACACACTTTTAGACATGGGTTGCTATGGGTGTGTGGTGGTTCCCTCAA